CCTTCCTTGATCTCAGGCAGTACTTCCTTTCTGTACATTTCAAGTAGCTGATTAAATTTACATTCTGTGGCAGCTTTGTCACTCATCGTATTAGCAATGTGGCATAGAATTTTTTTACCAATATCACATTCAGTTTCTTGAGATCTTTGTTTGATGTCTTGTAGAACCATTTGGAATGTATCTAGGGTGTCTTGGGCTGACTTTGTTGGCATTTCTCTTAAACCAAGACAGTAATAAATACCTTCTTTGTCGCGGGCAGCAAATGCACCATACTTATCACCATATTTGGAAGTTTCATCAGTATGTAATGTTGTCTCCTCCTTGTCAGCATAGTCTTCACTAAGTTGTTTTTGAGATAGCCAGACTCTCTGTATGTTTATATTGTTGACTGTTAATGGGCAAGGCACTCTATTTGGTTTTTTTCCAACCAGTTTTAAACATGCTTCTATAACTCCACCAACATTCTGACTGCCAACATTGAGTTCCAGCAGGGTATACACACAAAGCTGCAACTCAGCTGTGTACTTTCCTTCTTCCTCATTATAAATATAAGCAACTTCTTCCTTCAAATTATCTACCTGAAACTGTAATTCATCAGCTTGTACTAGACTGTCTGTTAGCTTTTGCTTCAGGGTTTTCACGATTTCCATTGGTTCTGGCTGCTGTTGTTTTTCCAGTCTGGAGGATTTGGCTCTCCAATAGTTTTCGCTTTCTCTTACTCTCTTTAGTTGTTTTCTTTTCATTTCAACACTGTATTTAAGATGTTCTTCCTCAGCAGTTTTCTTGTCTATATCTTTGCTCAGTTTTTCTACTTCCATCACTTTGGCTTGGATCTTTCTCTCCATCTCTTCTTTCTGAGCAGACTTATCCGCTGAAATCTTCTGCACCTCAGACGCTAATGAAGCAGTAACTTCTTGGTAGGCTTCAATGTAAAATTGACTAGCTGAAGCTATGCTAGAACTTTTTACACCAGGATTGGTTGAAACTTCAGGAAACTTGTAGGGTTCCTCAAGGAAGGACGTCAATTTGAGTGCACCCTCTGCACGTTTTTTACTCTTGTTCAAATTGCGGTAGTGAATAACTAAACGAGAAACAGAACTGATGTAGGTATTATACTGGGGCATGTTGGTTTTAGGATCCTGTAACTGTAACCAAGAGGCTGTAGCAGCTTTACCATATTCTTTGAAGTGATCAATCACCATACCGTTAGTCACGAAATCTGAACTTACATGTGCATTCTCTGCTTCCATCAAATCCATGACTGCAAACTGTACAACAAAAAGTGCAAAAAAAAAAAAAAATATTGTTTAGTTCTAGGATGGGCACAGTCAACAAAGCACATATCCAACACATCACCCATGGACACGGAGTATAACTGAACCACAACATGATACAACAGTGAGCATGCAGATAACTCAGAGGAAGTCTAAGAATTGACATGCCCATTCTTCCATAACAAAACTAGAATTGTAACAGAAACAAGCCTATAATGCCATCCCACTTCTTTACAGAAATGGAATCTTTTAATTGGCTGAAGTGTCAGGATGATGGAATCTTTTAATTGGCTGAAGTGTCAGGATGATGAATCTTTTAATTGGCTGAAGTGTCAGGATGATGGGCCCAAAATCCACAGACAACAAAAAATGTATATGCTTGCTGTTACACAACACAATGATATTTATGAGCCAAATTGGTCTGGACATCGAAATGCTTGGAATGTTTGTAGATCTTAGATCTTAGTACTGTACACCAACATATCACATTGGGTTATGGAAAGCATACATCAGTCTATAATCAACAATGAGTTGAATGAATACCAAAGATTTTATTTAAAGGACATATGTAAGAATGTCGTAGATTATATTTCATTCATGTTATACCTTGGTTATTTTATATTTAAGAAATATATTATGATTTTCCAATTTTCTACTGATGACCCAGACTTATCTGGTCTTTCTGATGTTGAATCTATTGGCAATTCAGATACTGCTGGAGTTTCATTGTGAATAGAAATATCTCTATTTTCAGTCTGAGTAAAAAACTTATATCCGCTTAAAATAAACAAATTTCTATTAAACTATAAATATATTGGAATTCCCTTGCTCTATTTACTTGACAAACAAGCTAACAATGGCCGGTTGCTATGTTACAAAGATTTCAATAGGACAACGCTTGTTACTTAGTTAAATACAGGTCAAACTTAGAGGGCGTCATAGGGCAACAACCATACCACAATAAATACACAACACACAGGTGTCTTGGATCCAGGAGGGCGAACTGAGTGTCCAGACATTTGGACGTGAAAATAATCAAATCTTATAATAATTGAATGTCAAGATAATGTCTAAATAACAACACAATTGTAACATAATGAAACAATGACAAAATAATATTGTAGCAATTACACAATAATTAAGAAATAAAATTAAAATAATGTAACAATATCAATACGATGCTGTAGTAATAACAAAATAATGGAATAAACACAAAATAAAATTTAAATAAAGACCAAATAACTGAATAATGACCAAATAATAACACAACAAGTTTCCAAATAAACACCGAACAACTGAACAATGTTCAAATAATGACACCCAGCTAATTTTGGCGGTATTCTCACCCCATAGCCCGTAACTCGAAGTTCTGTTAAGTGTCAATTGGTCATCGAGTTACAATTTGGCCATGGTTTTGGAAAAAGTGGGTGTGGTCATTTTTGTAACTCGATGCCTCAAACAATTTAGCACCTTGCCAAATAATTTCAGTACAGTATGCACTAAAATCGCATCTTCTCTTTGGTTTGATTCCTTCAGTAACATTCTTTTTTTTCCCTCTAACAAAGTGTCTGTCTTTCTTTTTTCTGGACCTTTTCTCATTTTACTCCGCGTCGCATTGTTGTATATGATAAATAAATCTTGGGATATAAAATAGCTGATGTGTTGCGTACAAACGGCATTTGTGAAATCATGGAGGTAGCTCCATGGTGAAAGAAGTACACAGGAAACGAATAATCAACATTAATTAAGCAACATTTATGCAAGTTAAACAGTTAAAGTAACACGTGGCACACGTGTGTGTTATTATTAATTTTAAATCTAGTTTATTCTGTGCTCTCGGCGGCTGTCGCTCGCAAATGTCGTAAATTACGAAATTTGGACAAGATTTACGAACAAAATAAATATCTATTAGTAAGATTTACGAACACATTTTGTACAAAATACCCTCGCAAATCGCCCTCATTTAATTGTCAAGACTCGACTGTGGTCATCACGCGTGTTACGGTTTGAGTGATTGCCATTTTAAAGTTAAACAATGTCCCGTTACTTCTAAGATTGCAACAATTGTTAGATGGTGATCGCGATCAACACGGAACTGCCACTGAATGTATTTTTCCACTATAAAGTTATTTTGGTGTCATAGCACATGCGTAGTTTAGTCGACATGCGTTTCAAGATACCCCGCGACATTACTCTCAGTATGGGACGGTTTCGTGTCGCCCTTATCAAACACGTGATTTGTTTATTTATTAAAAATGGAGACTACGTCAAAAAGGAGTAGACAACTGCTCGACGAGTATTTTTCACGACGAGATGGACTCAGGAAAAACCGCTAAATCGTGTTCAGAACCAGAAACCCATGGGTGTCCTAACCCTGACAGCACCAAGAAACGGAAAGTTGATCGTACTGCAGCACGATTTCAGAAATAATGGAAGGTTAGC